TCACGGGCAGAACAGAAAAAAGTAGTCATAAGCTTCACATAGTATTATCATCATGACCACTCATTAACTTATTCATTAATGTGACTTCAAGTCCATGATCAACAAATATATCAGGAAAATAAAGTAAACACCGCCACCATAAGTTAACCATACCATAGAATGTTATACAAGGCTTCAGCAACTATAATAATATAGAAAAGTAGAGAGGCAGAATAGAGTTACCAAGTCATCAAACCTTTTTGATCAACATTGATCAATACAGCCTTTCATAAATAATACATGTACAGGGAAGTAGCTAATTGTACTTAAAGAATAAAATAAACCACGTACAAGTCATCCCAAGATCATGATACAACTAGTGAAATACATCACCAATGTTCTAGAGAATACATAGACATAGATCATCAAGTAACTTCCCTAATTTTTCTAATCAATCATCGTGTATCAATAATATGCAGTTAGGGAAGTATCTAAAAAGATAGGAATCAAGTCGCATCAAGTCTTAATAATTCTTTATTCATCTTATGATATAGATCACATCACCTGCATAACATTTTCAATTCATCGACAAGGAGAATCTAGATCAACTTATACTAAGCCTTTTTTACTTTTATAATCCAAGATTTATACTTACAATTAAATGACGATATTAACCTAAAACAGTAGCTACAAGAATCTCAATATAATTGAATTCCATTTCTATACAAGTAAGTACCACTGTTAAACTGAACACATTGATAACTAAACTAAGAATGCTCAAATCTTCATACATTGATCCACATGGATCAATTCATAACTTTGTCTAGTTAAAAACCTCTAAGACTTTGAGATTAACTCTCTAGATCAAAGGATAGATAGAGATGAAGGATCACCATAACTTTGTATAGTCAAAAACCTCTAAGACTTGATGAATAATTCATGGAAATCCAAGCTCCAAGTTGTTCTGGAGCTTCACCTTCAATGGAAGTTTCTAGGGAGAATTGATTTTGGAGGGAAAGCTTATTTTGTGTGAATTGGATTTGGAATGGGTTGATCACGTTTTAGATCACTTACATACCAAAAATAACTACATAAATCAATTATGGTAAGGTTAGGACATGGTGTGAATTTCCCATTCACCCTTTTAATGAGTAGTAGTTAGGCAGTGATGTACCAGCCTGCATCGACGGGGCGTTAGTCCATCGACGGGCCGTTCTGAGCTCTTCATCGATTGGATCTAAGGCTTTCATGTGGCCAAGACGTCTCCAGGCTAAGTTCCCATCGACGTAGTGTCAGTCATCCAACGGGGATAGTGTCTTGACAACCCTTGGGTCCTTCTTGTGGGACCTTTTGCGGGGCCCTTGAGAAGTTTTACCCAGACATTTCCAACGTAAATATTCATATTAACAAGTAAATGACCTTAAATTGTAGTTTCACCCAAAATGCACACATAAAACACATCCTAACATACTAGGCCCCATTAAGACATACTAGAATGTCTGAAGTGCTAACTTTGTGACGTCTTAGACGTTCTTCGACGTTTGGTCTCCAAACTTCATGAAACTTCATAGACTGCATATAAACATAATTACAACTCATTTTAAGACTTCACAAAATCATTATATACAAATTTAAGCACATATAGATATGTGATACATATACGTGACTAGTCGTTGAACGTCTTTGTCATCCATTTATGTTTGACTTCCAAATCACCTCAAACTTTACACACTTCCTCAACACCATATTACATTAGACAGTTATGAAGAACATGTTAGGCTCTAGACACTCTAACTCATTTTGGATGTCTTATAGTAATGTCACAAGCATCATATTAAACAAAAGAGAATATCCCTCAATCTTTAGTTGTCCAATATTTCATAGGCTGAATCCTCAATTTTTTATAAATTGAACATAATCCAAATTTTTACTTTTTCGTGGCTACTGTCTACAACAGCCTGGCCTTTTTCTGCTACTTGCATCTTATTTGTGCTGCCAAGTTGGACCTTCTTCTTTTGTTTCTCATCAAGCTCTGTGAACATATATTAGGACCCAATCATATGGTTCGAAATAGAAACTGTCTAAAAACAATCTATAACTTTGCTTATTGTATTAATTAATGCAAGCCATTAAAATAAAATTTTTCTTCCTCCTTTCCTTCTGCTGCAAAATTTATTTTTTTGCTTTAAACAAACAATCAGCGTTTATATGCCCATATCCGTGGCAATGATGACATTGAAAATCATTTTTTTTGTTTCCTTGATCATTAGATTACCTATTCCCATTATTTCATCCTTTTCCTCTTCCATAACAACGACCTCGACCTCCTAAAAATCCTCCTATTCCTCGACCTCTACATGGGGACCATTATTATCTCCATATTTAGTGGCTACTTCTTTCACTTGATATGATTTTTCTTCGTTCTTGTCTACTGATCGATTGATTCTCGCCTCATGAGCTCGGAGATATCCTATCAACTCATTAAAGGAAAAAACTCGTAGATCCTTAGATTATTCTATTGCCATAACAACGTAATCAAATTTTCAATTCATTCTTCTCAATACTTTTTCAACAATAATCTAATAGGGAACCTTCTCTCCATAGGAACATATTTGACTGACAATTGTCATTGCTCTTGACAAAATACTAGCAAAATATTCACCACGTTTCATCATCAAGATTTCAAAGTCGTGCCGAAGTGATTGCAGTCTCACCACATGAACTTTGAATCTCTTTGAAACTCTTTTAAAGGAATGGTCGAGACTTTGTTAGATGTAGTTGCTATTGCGATTCTTTAAAAAATAATGTCATGGACACCTTGCTTGAGAAACACTGCCGCCTTAGCATTTTTCTTATTGATATCTCGCAACCAATTTTCTTCATTAGGATCGGTATATCTAGGTTTAGTATGTCCAAAAGATCTTAAGACTTGAGTATAATATTCAAACGTGTACTCTACAATTTGTAGCTTTGTCACTTGAAGACAGGAGTAAGTTGTTGTAACAAACTCAATAAACTAAAGTTAGTTGCCATGACTAGCTCTGATGCGAAATTAGTTGGAAAAGAAGTACAGTGAAATCTACAAATACTAAAAAAGAGAAGGAAACTGCTACTGTGTTTTAATTTTAGATTAATTGGAAGTACTAAAATAACAAAATATTCCCACATGATATATAGGAAAAGAGATAAACAACTAATCCCAAAATATAGGTCTTGCAACCCACTGTGACACTTAATCAAGAACATTAATAAAACTAGAGTAAGTATAGGAAACGACTTAACAAACACCCGAAGAACATTTCTACTAAACTACCCATTACCCAATTAAGTCAATCGTTTGGAATCACTTCTTAACATAATAGACAACATATTTTTTATTCCACAACGATTATGTAGTTTCTTTAGAACTACATTGACTATTACTATGTTTCCTATATTTCTTTTTTCAGTTAATTTAGCAGTAGTTAACATGGTTAGCACCATGACATAAGAGTAGGACCATGATCTATTTCGGTTTTTCAATTGTATGTTTTATGTATTTCTTGTACTTTTTCACAAAAATATAACTCTCTACATGAATTTTTTTGTTAGTAATTATCACATTTAAATTCCTTGTATTCTCCTCTTTTCCTTTTTGTATCAATCTAGACATTGTCTTCATTGTGTTATTTATCATCATCCTTATTAAAACTAGCAATTCATATCTGAGCTATCATGATAAGGGATCTGTGATCAAGTTTGAGAAGCCATGGAGGCCGAAAGAAGTTTCTCAGTAATTTCTCCTTCGGATATTATGGAGAATATTTTTAAGATTTTTGCGGTACAGATGGAGATGTACTAGGATGCCTTAGATATTCGGGAAGTTGTGGAAGAGTTACGATATCACATCTCTACATCATAATCCTACCATTGTTCATATTATAGAAAACAAGGAAAAAAGTCAAAGAAATCGAAGGCCAAGGCATGTTTATTTGTTTGTGTGTATCTTCAATAGTTTTCATGCGAATAATGTCTCTACAAACTTCTAAATAAGTATTAGATTATCTCAAGGAAGATTATTCTATATATTAGCGAAGAAAAGGTATGGATCAATTAAACTTAATTAGGGAGTTTGAATTGAAAATATGAAGGAATCTGAAACAGTGAAAGAATATTCAGACAGACTTCTAAATATAGCAAATAAAGTGAAGCTACTTGACTCTGCATTTTCAGACTCGAGAATTGTTTAGAAATCCTTGTAACACTTCCTTAAAGTATAAAGGAACAATTACTACCTCAAAAAATACTAAAAATTATTCAAGGAATATTTTGACTCATGTTATAGGAGGTTACAAGAGAAGGGCTCTTTTCACTTAGCATCAAGTAAATAAAATTCAGAAGAAGTAAAGGAATCAAGCAATGTGTGAAGGAGAAACATCAGCCAACAAAAAAACTCAGGGAGGAAGCACGAAGTAAAGTCATCCACATTGTAACCTTTGTGGATGAAAAGGCCATACACCATTCAAGTGATAAAGGAGACAGTATGCTAAATGCAAGAAATGCAATAAGATTTGACACGAAGCAGTGATTTGCAAGAATAAAACCCTGCAAGTTGAAGTAAATGCTCATGTTGCTACTCAATAAGAAGAGGGTCATCTTTTTTGCTGCAACAAGATTTTAAAGTAAGAGCTCAACAGATGCTTAGTTAATTGAAAGTTGTTTCAGTAACCACATGTAGACCACCATCCTGTCAAAGGAATTGGAACCGTCGCTATCAAAACGAGCAGTGGCAAAAAGAAAATTTCAGAGGTTCTTTATGTTACGTAAATTTATCAGAATTTTCTAAGAGTTTGAGATCTAATGAAATAAAATTCAGGGTTTTCTTCGAAGAGCACCACTTACAAATCAGGGAAACTACTGGAAATGAAATTTTCAGGTTGTAGATAAGAGGAAGGAGTTTATCCTTTAATCCTACAGAGAAAGACAAAGTAGTTTATTCCATCAAGGCAAGTAGAACAGAAATCTGGGACCAGAGATGTCACTTCCCGAAACCACACCCTTGAATTTAGGGCCAATCTCATATTGCAATAGATGTACTTGACCTCTCGGAGGTCTTGTACAAGCCCTTTCTGTATCGTTAATTGCATTTACATGATGAAAAGTAGTGCAGAATTAAAACTTTGTAAAAAATATTAGAACATGTTTAATAACATCCTTCAACAGAAATCGTAGGAACTACTAAGTCTCAATTTCATCAAACCAATACATAGAATACTTTGGGACAAGGCCCATACTTCAAAATATAAAAATACTTAGTCTATTCCAATACTTTGAAATAAAAGACATATATGTATGCCTCTAGTCAATTGATGACTTACTTCACTTCACTTGAACGAGCCTAGAATCCAAGCTCTCTTTCACGATCCTTCTCACCTTTCACTTAGAGATAAAAAATGTGTAGAGTTAGTTCAAACAATTGTACTATGTATAGTTTTATGCATAAAATCATGAAAACGGACATTTTATTAGAAACATGCATCTTTCATTTAAAAATCATATAAGAATCATAAGAACAACATTTATCAACTTAGAAACACATAACTAAACACTTGAACCATTTATCTTTTTTTTTTGAAGACCCTTAACAGTAACTTCAATTCATTGTACAGTGAAGTTCTTCACTGTTACAATGAAGTTACTTACCTTCACCTAAGAGACATTCTCTTATGTACTTACCTCACTACAAGCTATCCTAAGACTCACTTAGTCATACAAAGAGAGACCACCCATACACCCTCTCTAAGCATGCCTAAATGATCCTCAAGACTACTTATAATGAGACACATACACACTTACAAGCAACTATACACATGAATCATGAGATCCTTCTACCAAAAGTGATTTTCAGTCTCACTTGAGTGAGTTGTAAAGCGACCCCACATAAAATCACTTACACACACTTAAAAAGTCCTATAGAATACCCAAGATAGAATCATTGTCACTCAATACATTAAACACATAGATAATATGTCATTCTCCTCACAAAGGCTATCAATAGACTGACTAAAGTAAATCAAGAGGATAACAACCATGATTTTCCTCTTCAAGATTACCTAAATAATCCTTAAGACTACCTATGTTTAGATCATGTGTAAATATTCAACATCTTCCCTAACTAGAATCATTCTCATGATTTATCTAGGTAAGATATAAAGTGACCATTCCTATGCCCCCTTCACCTCTTAATTAGACAACCCTTAACTTCTCTAGGTAAGTACTTATTTATTTAAAATGCTTTCTTAACTTAAATCATTACATTCATTAGTTCATTTAGACTCATCCATCACCTAAAGTATATTCAAGTAATTGTGTTGGACAAGACCTAGGGACTCCAACTAACACGTTCTAAAGCCTATTGTGCAATGTCTAGATAGCGTCCCACACCACCACCTAAACCTCATAGAACTTCTCTAGTTCTCCCATATGATTAGAATAGGCAATAACAGACATAGACTATGGTATAAAATAATGGAATCCGGAGTTGTATCCTACTCTTATAAGGGTGTTCTACTTGCCAATGGTAGAACTTGGACGCATCCCATGTAGGCACATAGTTAAGGAATATGAAGAGAGTGCTTTCTACTCTATTCTCATTCTTTAACTAGGGCCATTTCCCTTACCATACTCACTCGGTTCTAGCCTTTTTTCTCAAAGATTAATTTACATTAAAGGTTCATATAAAGGGGTTCGATATATAGTTCATAACTCAATCACATTTACCCTATCAAAGAGGTCAAGTAGGGCTACCTTACAATGGAGACTAGAAGCTCATAATGACTTTCCTAAGGATTGGTATGATGTCATTCCATCCAATCAACCTTAAGTCTATTATTCCTTTACTTAAAGGTATCATTATGACTTTAGACTTCAACATTCATAACTTTACCACTAGGTTCAAAGTTTCACATAAAGAACTCTCTAAGTCTCATGCCATTCGTACATACAAGACTAAGATGTTTTAGCATCCTAAGTCAAGACATCTCATATTCACATTTCACTAATACATGTATCATGTAAGGTACACAAGTCATCAAGACAAGACATGACATATTTCACTTTAACACATCTTACATCTCATTCTACAAGCACATAAAAATAACCATTATCATATTGAGTCATCTTATACGCTACCATACCATCATCAATATGACCATAATATACACATATAGTAAAGTAGGAATAACCATGTATCAACTCTAAGACTAAACACAAAAAGACATAGTCATAGTTTAACATGATCACCTAAATAGAATCAATAGAAGAAGACATATATTGTCACATTACTTATCATATAGATAGATATTATCAAACTTCACATTATTATCATAATAGTTCATATAGTTGCCGGGAAGTCCATGATCATCATATTACATAAAATAACGTCGACAAGGCCACATAAATTGCAAGCAAAAAACATTACACCGCCACCATAAGTGGACCATACAAATAAAACCATAATTGAAGTCTACTTAACATATAATAAAGGGAATTAGGGTAGAGTACCGACACTCCATCTTCAATACATCAATCCAATGCTATATCATCCAATTCAATATCATAAGGACCCTACTGATGACCATAACCAATAATTCAATACAATTATAGCAATACTCAATGAAACTGTGTCAATTCACTACATATTCAAAAATCTAATGAAAACTAGAGACAAATTCAATATAATTATTACATCATTCAATATCCCATAGAAAAATATACTAGAATTATGAACATTATATCAAAATAACATTATTGATGACTTAGTCAAAATTTAGGGTTCATCAATTTAATGGGTTCATAGGTCAATGGATTTAAAATCTTCTAACTGATAACAATTCAATCAATATACAATGCTTTAAAACCTTTAATTCAAGAGCCAGCGGATTGATCGTGAAATTGGACAATTCATCTTTGAAAACTTTTAGAAAACATCTTTGAAAGTTGGGCTCCATGATGAATAGTTTTTTAATGATAAAAAAAATCACACATCAATGAATGTAATTATTCAATTTGATTAATAATCTCCACTCGATTCCCCAATCCAAGCCCTTCCTCGAGTTTTGGCTCCAATGGAGTTCTAGAGAATTTCTAAGGGAATTTGGGTTTTTACTTTGAAGAATGAAATCCTATAACCTTTTTATTCTTATAAACATATCTAAAATACCCAAAAGACCCTTTAAGAATCTAACTTTCACTTTTTTTGAAGTAGGTAGTGAACTTAAGCAGGAGACGGCCCTCCCAGACGGAGGACCATCAACGGCCCATCCCTTGACCAACGGATCATTCTGTTGGTCCATGATCTGGGATTGGGACTGGTCTTTGGCCTCTCTTCTCCCACGACTAATTACTAATCAACGGGACCTCACCTACAAGGCTTTGATTTCCTTCCATAGGTCGGTTGTCTTTGACATTCTTGGCTACCATTCATGGGCCCTTCCTCAAGGACCCTTAGATTGTCCTTGGGGATGTTTGCCCGGACATTTTCAACCCAAAAATTATTGTATATGAGTTTAGGACCTATCACATGAATTTTATCAAAAACGAACAAATAAAAAATGACAAAACATGCATAGACACACAAGATCATTTCAACGCAAACCTTTCAAATGTCGTGGACGTTATTGGACCTTTGACCTTCAAACATCACGAAACTTGACACACTTTCTATATACACCATAATGAATAATTTAACGACCTTATAGCTTCATGGATCACACATAAACACATAAAACCATATATGAGATACATCAGTGACTTAGTCGTCAAACTTCTTAGGTGCCCTTAACGTTTGACTTCCAATGCACGTACACTCTTAGACGCTGCCTCAATACCATATTTTATACCACTTTACTATCTTATACCATCATTAAAAACATTTTAGGATCTATATTCATCTAAGTCATGTTCAGATCTTAAAAGAGACTTGAAAACTATCATCTACAAGCACTATTGCTACTAAAGAAGGAAGATATTACTACAGGACTACAAACTCTAATTGATCACTTGACAAAATGTTAAGATTGTTAACTTTGTAAGCAGAATAGGATTTCATTTCCTGAAGCAACCTGGCGGACTCCTCAAAGGTTTCAACTGATTCCCACATATGTTGTAGGACCGTAAATAACACCACCCCTAATAGTTGTCTATACTATGTTATGTATATAAAGGATACTCCTAGATTTTCTTTATGAAAATAAATTACAAGCGGCTGGAATTTTCTTGAAGTTCAAAGAAATGGTGGAAAATCAAAGTGATAGCGGAATCCAATCCCTACAATCAGACAATGGAAAAGAGTATAATTCGGAAAAATTTAACAAATTTTGTTAGGTAGCGGGTATCACTCATTATCTTACTACTCCATATACACAACAACAAAATGGAGTTTTTGAAAGGAGAAATAGATAAATAATGGAGATGTATTGTTACAGGTTGCATGATAAAGAGTTGTCAAAAAGTTTTTGGGCTGAGGCAACTAATACGGCAATATTTCTCAAAAATTAGGTTCCTTCTAAGTCATTGCTGAGTAAAACTCCATTCGAGGGTTGGAATGAATTCAAAGACTCACTAAGATTCATTAAAGTATTTATTTGTGTTTGATTCTTTCATGTCCCACAGGTTAAAAGAGAAAAACTTGACAAAATGTCACTTCCTGAAATATTTGTGGATTATAGCTTATACTTCAAATCAAAAAAAAGTATATAATCCACAAACCAATAACGTGATTGTTACTAGAGATGTGCACTTAGCTAAAGAAAAGAAATGTGCTTGAAGGAAGCATCTGATCTCTGGAAAAATCAGTTGGTTGATGATCTTCCAATTCGAGGTACAAAACTATTCTTTACATTTACCAACAAAATAATATGGTACTTTGTGATCCTTCAGGACATGATAAAGAACTTCAACATAAAAAGTGGAGAAACACCACGGAGTAGGAGATGCCAATGATCAAGAAAAATAAAACTTGGGTGTTAGCTGATCGACTAAAACATAAAAAGGTAATTGGAGTAAAAAGGGTGTTTACAACCAAGTTCAGTTTTGATGGTTCTATCAATAAATACAAGATTAGGCTAGTTATCAAAGGATATTCCCAAATATTTGGTGTTGATAACTCGGACACCTTTGCTCTAGTAGCCTGATTGGATAATGTTAGATTGATGCTAGCAAAAGCAACAAAAAAAGGCAGGAAAGTTTTTCTTCTAGATCTGAAATCATCCTTTTTTAAATTGTATGCTACTGGAAGAAATATATGTAAAGCAACCCAAGGGTTTCTTTGAGCTAGGAAAAGAAGAAAAAGAATGTATACTTATTAAAAAGTCTCTTTATGGGTTAAAACAAGCTCCAAGAGCTTGGTATAAAAGGATTGATGATCACTTGTTGAGTTTTGAGTTTATACGAGTTTTTCTAGAAGTCACTCTTTATGTCAAGCATAAAGGAACTAATATTCTCTTTGAATCCCTTTATGTTTATGATCTCTTGGTAACAGAAAATAATGTGTGGCTGGTTGAGGAGTTTAAGAAGTAAATGATGCATGTTTTTGAAATGAAAGGCTTGCGGCTAATGACATTCTTTCTGAGAATGGAAATCAAGGAAGGTTGTGATTAATTTTTTATCTATCATAAGAAGTATTCTGCAGAGATACTTAAGAAATTTCATATGGAAAATTTCAAGGACATAACATCACCAATAAATACAAAGGAGAGGTTCAGCAAAGATGATGCAACCAATCAAATTGATGAAGAAAATTTCAGCAGCTTGATTGGATGTTTGATGTATCTCACTGCTATAAGGCATAATATTCTATTAAATGTAAGTCTATTATCTAGATTTATGCATTGTGCTATAAAATGCATTTGTGAGCAGCAAAAAGATTTATAAGGTTCCTTAAACGTACTATTGAATATGGTGTCAAGTCCAAGAAGTGTGGGACTTTCACATAATATGGATTCTTAGTGATTGGGCTCGATCCATTGACGACATGAAAAGTACATCAAGATACTCTTTATGTCAGGGATCAGGGATTTTCTCTTGGTGTTATACACAACAGGAAACTGTGGCAAAATCTATACCAGAGGCTTCATTCGTAGCTGCAACTTCAGCATTAAATCAAACCTTATGGGTGTGATAAAATATTTTCTGATTTGAATATGGAGAAAAAAGTCAAGATTGAGGTCATGAAGATAAACAAGATGCAATAGACATTTCACATAATCCAGTGTTCTATGAAAATACTAAACAATTCAACATAATCTGTATTTCTTGAGGGATGTGCAGAAAAAAAGAGAAGTGATACATTTTTAGTACAAATCTGAAGATCCGCTAGTAGGTGTATTTAAGATATCCATTCTTATCAGCAAGTTCGAGTTCCCGAGTGACCAACCTGGAATTTCAAGCTCCTAATGCAAGGAGTATCAGTTTGTTGCTTTAGGACTGCAATATTTGTTTCCTGTATATCTTCTTTGAATTATTTTGAACAATTACCATTGTTAGAATCATGACTTAAAAGTAGTACCATGATCTATTTCAGTTTTTCAATTGTAGGTTTTATGCATTCTCTGATTCTTTTCAAAGAAATATAACTCTCTACATAAGTTTTTCTCTTAGTCATATTCACATTTAAATTCCTTGTATTCTATTGTTTTCCTTTCATTAACAAACTAGACGGTGTCTTCATCGTGTTATCTTTCACATGCTAGAGCATATAAAGCGTGAGCAGATACCTTTAAATGCATACGCAAGCTAGTCTACAAGAAAGAACCTTCAAGCAAATCCACAAGCTTGTCCACAAACAAAAAAAAATTTTGTTGTCTTTTACAGTGATCCCAAATTCAAATCTAAATCACTCAATACTTTGGTGGGCAAGTTTTTTTTATAAAATTTATCTCCATTCAAGGGTTAGAAGAATCTCTATCTATAGAGATTTGTTCGTACTCCAAGGATAAGGAATATCATCTCTTTTCTTAGAATTGAAAGACATGTACATATCCCTTTCCTTAGAAAATAAAAGTCATGTTCTATCTTTCCTTAGAATAGAAAACGTTATATTTTTCTGCCTTACCTAAATAGAAAAAGATACATATATCACTCTTTCCTTAAAATAGAGAAAGACACATACTTCTCCTTTTTCCTTTAGAATAGATTTTGAGTTTTAGTTAAATATGGACAGGATATGGACCATGAAATTAATTGCCTAGACTTTCTATTATGAAAATAATTTGAAATAATTAATTTGAATTACTTTTAATATAATAAATTACAAATTATTCCATCAGAAATTTGTAATTGCACTCCTTTATTTATAGTTCGAAATTCTCCATTAGACTCATATGTAATTCCCCAATTTAAGATTACAAATAGAAATAAATAAGTTAAATTAGTGACGAACTTTATTCAATTATCGATTTCCTTTACAACCGCTTAATTTATTTCATGTGTAGGATTAATAAATACACTTTCAAGGTTTTACACGAGAAAATTTTTTAAGCTTCTCAAAAAGGCATATCATTAATCTCTATATTAACACATGGATTTTGTTAAACTAAGTTATTATTTGACCAATATATATTATCATCATGCAATCAACTAGGAATATTGAACCATCTTAGAGTCTCACATTTAAATAAATTAAAACTATAATTAACATTTACAAAATATAATTGTTATATCAGGAATAAGAATATAAGTATATTTAATAGATTAGAAAATATGCTTTTGTTACTCATTCAAAAGCAACAATATCTATTTGGTCCCGTTCAATGTATATAAAATGCACTAGAACAAGAAGTTGACACTTACTAATCTCATAATCATGACAAATTACATTTAATCTTGTTCTATAATCGTATAAATGACATGTTCTATTCCCAAAATAGATTGTAAACTAAAAATGTGTACTCATAAGAACTAATGATTTCATTTTCTTCGAATAAACATAAACTCTATACACTAAATAATAATATAATATTATAACTGGGAACAACACAAATGAAAATTGGAAATACCAAAATGCCCTTGTAAAATAAAATGACTCTATTATCATTTTTAAGGTAAAAATGAACTTATTTTCCAACTTTTAGTCATATTTTATACTAATTCTTTTCATTTTATTTAACCGAAAATACATCAAATCCCCCTGAACTTGGCAGAAAAATTGTTTTAGCATATTGACTATACGGGCATTTAATTAATCCATTTAACTATTCTGAACAAATAAATATCACCGTAAGAGCTCATGTGGCAATGTTAGTGTACGCACGGTCCTCAAAGCACGTGAAATGACAAAAAAAATTGAACGGTAAAACCATAGTCACAATATTTTTTATTGTCCAATATATAACTAATAATTATTAAAGTTTTTTTTTCAAGTTAAAGATAAAAGATTGTGTGAAATTTCTTGTTTAGAAGTAAAGGACATTTATGGGTTCAATTTTTTAAAAAAAAATATTTTACCTTTTTGTTCTCTCTTTATTTTGTTATCTTCCTCAAATGTCTTTTTCCCCAATGAAACAATCATACCTTTCTTTCATCCATATTAAAATTTTCCTAGATCTTCATCCAACACCTCACCCACCCTTCTTTAATCACAAAACCGAATATCTATTTCATATTATTGAATATAAACTTTTTTTATTTTAAAGTAACTCATTATAAATTCTATTAGTTGTGATGAAAAAGTGGGCCTCTCAACTTTCTTACACAATCTTTATTTTTTATTTAAGTTGTTAAGAAAAAAATAACATAAAAAAAATTCCAAGGGAAAAATTTGTTTGAGAGATACGGTTTAAAAGATACAAGAGTAAGTATGCTATTTTTTTAAAAAATAGATTAATGTTGAAGAAGAAAACAACTATTGAATGCTAAAATGAGGGAAAAAAGGAGATAGTGAAGGTTTTAAATGGTGAAAATCAAGAAAGAAGAAGGGGGGGGGGGTAGAAGAGAAGGGGTAGAAGAAAATGTGGCATTTTGATTTTAAAATTTATTTTTAATTAATAGATTATTATAATAAATTTTAAGAAAATGTTTAATAAAAAAGTCGATAACAAAAAAAAGTTGAAAATTAATGATGTGGTGCTTACATGGCTGGGACGTGATGTGGCAGGTAAGAAGATATTCTACTCTCGAAGTTCTATTTAATACAATTCAAAGATGTTAATGGATATTTTAATTCCCATATAGTTTAAGTGCTAATGTAATGTATGCGGCCAAGTTCAAGTGCATTTTTATGTATTTTCTCTTTATTTAATAAGAAGTCCACAAGTCTATGTAATGTGGGTAACATCTTATAAACAAAAGTTCAAAGATCACACTTGATTTCTTTTCAAATTTGCCGTTTTCAATTATATTTAATTTATAATTATAAAATTATATAATAACATATTTAATAGTTGCAACACTCATCAAAATCTGTTCCTATTCACTAACCACACTAGTAAACCAAGAGGACATAATTCCTAATTAAACAATAGTATAATATCATTAGGTAAAAAAACCTTCTATTTTCTCTTATTTGTGTGTTATATTTATGAATCCAAAAAGACATAATTTTACATTAAATATTATATTCAAATTTGTTTGATGTATTTTCACCTCTCTTAATATCTCCTATTTATATTTAAACTATATTATTAGTATGTATATAATTGTATGACTAGTAGAAATTGAACTTCAGTAAGGTAGAGTACAACTTTGATAGTTCTTTTTTTTTTTTGATGAAATACTTTTTTTATAAAATTTTTGATTTGATGTCTGATTATATATATGCTGGAAACTGAACTTATTTAGAGGGCGTGATACTTTTATTATCTGTTTATTTATCTTTTGAAAATTTTGTATTGCATTGATCTTTTATTTGATGATTTCAAATTTGTTTGTATGTAATTCTTTTTTTTTTGGTTGGTTCACAAGTATATATATACATAAATTCAAAGTTATTTTTTCTTTATGCATTTATTTTTTTCAACATATAATTATTGGTTTATATTGTTTTCTTTTTTAATCATATTATTAATATCTCACAAGTGATTGTGTTGTATTTCATAATTCACAATTTAAAGATGACAGAAGTAATAATTTTGACTATGTCAAAGAAGACGAACAGTACATATTCATGTCAAATAAATATTTAAACAATGATTAGTTTTATAACATATAAATAATATTTCTTTTGTAGGTGTACACTATGAACTTGATAATGATCTACTAACCATCCTAAGAAATATATACGTTGATGGAATTTCTCTATAAGTAAAAACTAACACGTCTCTCCTTCGATTATAACTTCAAGATATGTATGCATCTTTAAAATAAAGTGGAGGCTACTATTCCTTAAAATGAAGAAGGAAATTTTAAGGCATTAAATATTTTGCAACTATAATACTGAAATATAAATTATGTGTTCTGACGTATTAAAAATGAACTCTTAACAAGTGAACTAATAATATATTAAAACAAATGTATATTTGAAATCGTTATAATTTTACGTTTTAAATCAGTTTATAATAATATTTTTGTATGATTTGTCTTGCAACGATGATAACAACAATTGAATATACTCACCGCTAATGGTTTGAGCTAGTAATTTACACATCAAACGCTTACATATTACAAGTATTTATATTAATTAGCATTATATATACGTGAAACACACGTGTTCGAAAACTAATTTACTATATGAGTAATCAGACACCATAAATGAATAGATGATCTATCAAAATGAATTAATAATTATTCTATAATAAGTACTATATCTAAACAAGTGGAGAATATTATACATCCCAACATGTGAAATGTTTCCAATCCGCTAACTATTTCTTCTGAAAACACTAGTGATACCAGTGTAAAAGTGTCTCGTCGAGATAGCATGACGCGTGATCTGACTTGTAGTTTTCCTAATGTAAAAATATTAAAGTAGAGTTCAGTCTAAAAATTCATAACTCTGCATTCTTGCCACAAAATCGTTGAAATTCTAATGATCCAGGCTTACTTGTAGTAAGGTTTCCATCCAACTCGCATAACATTGAAAGAGCATAAGTGAGAAACTTTGACCAAGTATCCTTTATTAACATAATTGAATTTTTGATTGTTCAATATATGTCCTCCATTGAGAACCTCTTGATGAAAGCACCAATGAAATAAAAGGATTTATTAACACAATTATCCTAACATTATATAATAAGATAATCAAATTACAATGACAACACTTGAAATACAGGGAGAAGTACAGAAATATAGAGTAGCTAGAGATAGAGATAAGAATGGTTGAGCAATTACAAAGAATATTAGAGGAACAAACAGTTTCTTCACTTCAGACATAATTTTCCAACCACATATGACAACAATATACACTCTACTCTCAACATATATCCTAGACTATCTAGTATTGGGTTGTATAGTTCCTGGACCTCTGCGTAGTTTAGCCCCCAAGCCCAACTTTTTGGGGACCAATTGCGTTCAGAACATATGGTTTGCAAATATTTTCCAAAGACATACAATATTTATCATGTAAACTTTTAGAAACTATTTTCCTCCATATATAAATGATTAAAAATTTACGCGGTGTAATCATAACAACAATACCACAAATTATTCTAGTACATTATCACTTCAACCTTTCTAAATAGGGCACCAAAATCTAGAGAAGTAGTCCACTGATCTTGTACTTCCATGATCACTTTCCCTCAATCAATGGAATACAAAATATTCAATAGTATATTA